GTTGATGATGTTTTTTTTTAATGTCAGGATTTGTAATACTAACCAGTATATCAATGATTATTTCATTCACACTTGGCTGGACCTATGGAATGTCATGATTGAAGTCACATGATATGCGATATCAGCGGCTATTTAGGTAAACAAACAATATGAGCGGCTATTCTGTTCGCTAGCATAAGAGTGCTATGGTTGTCACACTTTGACATACCTATCAGTCACTCAAAAAGTGAAATGTCTCGTTTTGGGTCAACTTCCACTAGAGTCACTGGATGGTATTAGTTTGATAAGAGTTCGGACACAGGTGAACTTTTGTCCTTTTCTATTTTCTATAATACAATGGTTTAAGTGAATAAAAGAATAAGACATCCTCCTTGTCTTTTCAATTTCCCTAGTAGCGCCTAATTGTCAGATACGATTTTAGAGGTTATGTTTCCTGTCAAATCATTCATAGCCGTAGATGGACAATGGAAATAGGGAACAAACACCCACTTCAATTTGTTGTGAAACACCTCTAGCAGAACAACAGTTATACAAATAAAAAGAATGCATTTTTAAACATTTTAATATTAGAAAATATACACATATGGACATACTTTTAGCTAATTCCTCATCATAAGTGGAACTGTACTCCAATGATAAGTATAAAACATGAAGATATTAATATGCAATTAAAGGTAGGCATTCTCAATATACAGGAAGTAACATAAGTACGTTCAAGTGAAGTATTCCTGAGACAATTTTAGGAAATACAGTCTATATAAGCTTGTGTCCGGAGAGTGTTGAAATACAGAGAACAAATCATTTTTCGATGAACATTTATTCATTAGAAAACAGTAGTTTATTTTGTCGAGACCTACCACATACTTGGTTTAGTAAAGTTCTCAGCAACTTCACTTAGCGTCCTAGGAGCTAAGTAACATGGATCGATATAGAAAATTGTAAATATCTCCTTGATACATAAATAACTATTCTCATTGGTTTCATGTTCACATAAATACCCAAGTAGGTATAATAGATATGTGAGAACATAATATAGCTTCTGAAACTGTGAAAACTGGGAACACAGAGTTTTGCATTCATAATAAGAAATTCGCTAACTTCTTAATCCCATACTTCGACTCGCTTTTGAATTCCTTAATATTCTTCTGCTTTGTAAATTGATGGAACAGCAGATTCTCTCAAACAGATTTTGAAATCTTCTGTTTGAAAATGGGCCTAAAATATAGTTTTATTCTAATCAGATGCTGTTATAAGAAGGGAAATTTAATGAGTACCTCACAAATTTTGCTCGTCTTCAAATTGATTTTCCACCCATATCTTCCTTCCATAAGCGAATGCTTGATATTTGTTTTGGAAAATTGAATAAATGATATCCATTTTTTTCTGAATTGACACAATTCGTTACACAGCAAGTAATTTCCATAACTGCTTTTTTCTCGAAAGTATAATTATGAAATATTATTTCAATTCTGACGTTTATAAAATGTATTGTCAAATTCAAACAATTTTGAAAGAAAAAGCGCAGGACGACTTTGTTGCTCTTGTCACAATGCAAGGTGTGTAACTTAATAAATCTAAACATTCAAAAACCCTAACCGTTGTCATTTCTGTGTCCGAACTCTTATCAAACTAATACCATCCAGTGACTCTAACTTCCACTACGGTAATCCGTAATTATGTAAGCGAATCGATGTCAGAAAATAACGAGGAGAGTGGAGAGTCTGTCTGGAACTATTCATGTTTTATTGCCAGCAGAAACACTATGAATTTTGTGCGACTACGACATCTCTCGTGATTGCCCAAATCTTGAGAGATTGGGTGAGGAGAATGGTGAGGAATATTAGGCATACACAGTTGAAATTCATATGAAAAACTATATACAGGAACGAGTACAGGAAGGTTACTTCAATGCACATAAACGTAAGACAAATCCATTTGAATATATCGAATTCAAAGGTGCCAGGGTTGCGCATAATGCAAAGAGGCGAAGCATACAATATTTTCCTCAAACAAGAAAGAAGTACCGAAGCACTTATCAAAGAATATTAACGCTATCAAAGCGTCAATTTTCTTTCTTTACTCTAACATTAAATGAATTGATTACAATTGTACGTAGATATGATGAGAATACTCCAGACGGCCTTCAGAAGAATTTTTATTCAAATAGTATCTGCAGAGAATTATAACTTGATAAAATGTCGAAACTCATAATGAACCAGTATTTTCACACTGTTCATGAAATAATCTTCCTGAATATCACTCGACCATGACAAATGGAGACTATTATTTTCTTTAATTCATCTCGAGTAACTTGTATTTTGGGACAATTCAATTCGACCATATGAACATAAATAATCATAGAATAACTCCCTCGAGCTAAAGCTCTCGGGAGTTATTCAGATTATTAATGTTCATATGGTCTCATCAAATTGTCAAAATACAAGGTACTCTCGATAGAATTATGAAGAAAATGATAGTCGGCTATTTGTCATGGTCTCGGGATATTACCTACGAATATCCATCGAATCATTCAATCACAGTAGCATTTTGGGGTGAAACATATTACTATACAATACATGATGTATCTTCATAAGTACACATGTCATCGAGTGAATCTCCAGCAGCGTTCTCGTCCCTACGCATTTCAGTATACTACCTTTATAATCACGGAATCCGGAATGAGGCGACACTAATTGTTACGACAAAAATGATCATAGGGAAGCCAAGATCTGAGATATTCAATTCTCAAGAATTTCCTCGAATATAGATGGCAATATTGCTGCATTACCCTGAGAAAAGTTTGTATCTCTATTTCAAGTGCTTTAGATTTGATTTAGCAGAGATCGTATCAGGTTCTCACAGGTGGAAGAAGAAATATACATCAATGCGATTGTGTTGCGATTGCGATTGTGTTGCCTTTTTCATCTTCGTGTGGAAAATAACAGGATACCTACGAATTGGTACTAAAAAACGGAGGTGTGTTCTTCACACATTTTCATGGCACTTGCTGAATGAGTAGGAAGTCATCACACATGAATCAACATCTTTGGAGTAGGTATGTATATCTCGTTCTTGATGCCACGTGGATATCTGACAATCCTCTTCAAATTGGAGCGTCACTTCTATTTAGCTTGATAGGATTCGCGACTGCCCTCCTTCAGTTATGAGATAAGAAATAGAAAATCAGGAATTCAAATCTATCAAAATAAATAGCATTTACCAATTTGAAAAATATATCCATTTCTCCATATATCCTGTTCATTCAAAAAGGAATTGCATCATTGATATTATAAAGTGATTCGAAATTTTTTCAATATAGGTGTAGAATGAGAGATAACAAGGGGTACACATCAATAAAACTAGCCGTGTAGACTCTGGATTTGGTCTATCCACTATGGAATGCATAGCCAATCTTGTTCTGCATTTGAGTCAATATGGATAATACAGAGTAGGGATTCGATTCAGACTTCGATATAAAGAAGTACTGCAACTTATATGTAGATGACATACCAGAGGTGGCCCCATTGAAATATACCACCGTTGGTAACTTTGAGAATTGAGATTTTCAGAAACATCATAAGAAATTTAGCTCTTCGGAATCATTTCCCCAGACTACGAAGATATAGCTTATTCTAATATGTTTTTAGAAGCAAAAAACCATTTCTGCACCAAGTATGAATCCATATATTCACAGCCAGCATGCAGTACAATGGATATGACATAATAAACTCATGGCAATGTATATTAATTGAAGAAGATCATACAGAATACCTGATGGAACATTCTACTACGTTTGATGGTTTCATCACATTTTTACCAGGACCATGTTCTGTAGTACGCATCTAAAAGATCCACGTCTTATCAAGGATGAAAAAAAACTATTCCAAACCTGCATTCTCAAATCGCATATATTTCCAAAGGTTCTCTACACACTTCATAGCATTATGAAGTAGTTTCATAATTCCATGTCTTGAATCGCAGAACGCCAACCTTCTTCAACTCTTTCCACAGATGTGTGTTGCTTCCATTGAAAAGTAAACATTCAGCAAGTTCATCTCCCAATGTTCCTAATGTTAAGTGTTTTTTATATATTTCGAATATCGTTGATGACCATCAACAAGATCCTCTTATTTGGTCAACCAAATTATCATGTTTGTTTATTGCAAATATTCCCCATGCTACAGTATGAGGTTCAATGCAGCAGCTTCTTTCTGTGAGTGATGCAGAAAATTATAAGTACCTGGATCATTCACCTTCATAGTCATTGTCATCGAATCATTCCACAGAATTGTTTCTGGTACGGCAAAAGTAACGATATGTAAGTTACAGCATTAATGAAGTTTACAGGAGGAAATGTCTATTGAAAATATAATAACAGACAACAGTTTCATGGGAGAAATAATTTCATTGAATATCGATTTATTTGGCTATTGGAACTATTCACTTCTCTTACTTCTACGACCGCTGACTACTATTGATGAGTATATCTCATGTTGAATAGAAACCAATTGAACGATTATTGGCCCCACTTTTCCTCTTATCTCTGATGAAATAGAAAATCAATAGGTATACTGTGATACAAAGTTGATAATGATGAATCCAGTGTGACCAAGATACGGTTGCACAACATAAAAATCTTGGAGACAGTAGTTGATTCCAATTGAGTCATGATAGAGGAACTTGTTGAATTCTTAGGGCCATATCAACAGTCTCAAAAACTGACAAAATCATTGAAAATGTTACAGTTCTATTGTCAAAGAAGTTTTGTGCGACCATGTATCCGTTACAATTGTATTTCTGAAAGGTTCTATAACCAAAGTATTTTCACACATGAAAGTAATCTCCCATTGTATCAAGTTTATGATGGTCTGATTTTATAGATGCTATATAGGATCATCCAATAATCTCTACCACACATCAAATCAATTCAGCTGCCAGGGACCATGGTCTTATCATCTCTCCCCAGTTGCACGTTCAGTGATATTGAATTTTTATTTCAGGTTCCGAAAATATTCACATTCGACCATGGAAATGTCGGCGTCAATTTCCTAGGATATAAAGCTTCGGCTGGCCTTGGTGGTCTCCTGACAGGTAATTCAGCAGATGGTGGACTTCACGCAGAAGCTGAAACACCTTTTGGACAAGCAGCACGCGCTGGTCTAGGCGGATCTGTAGATGGTGAAGGTAAGAAAACTAGTTGGCAATACACCATATACATCCATTATCAGTACATAATCATTAGCGACTATAACAAACAAAAACTTTGCAGACAAGAACACATCAAAGAGTACACCATCATGATATTTCTACTGAAGTGGAAATGTTGTGAGACAAATATGACCAGATTGGAGTACTATATAGTTAACAAGAAAAACCGTATGGAATGAGAGTATAACAATGAGCATTGTTTTCGAAATTCCAGTAATCAATTGCCAAAGTCTGTTTGAAAACAATTTCTTGCGAAATCCTGATGAACAACTAAGCACGTCACGACGTCACCAATTAACCTCGTTGAGACTAATGGAAACTCACTCACTGAGTCCATAAGGAGTAATGGCTTCAATATCTGAGTTGAGTTGAGTTGAGTAAGCATCGGGGGGACTTGTCGAAGTCTAGACAGCTAGACCGCTAGTGTGGGTCCATTGTGTCGCCCCGTGAGTATGGCATCCTTCACAAGAGTCCCGCAGCTCTGCCGAAGGCTAGGATGTCGGTAGCCGGGATGTTTGGCGCTTCTTACGCTGATGGAAAAGCCGAAACTCCGCCATTTGAGCTGTGTCAGCGCAGGACATTCACATATGATGTGGATAAGAGTTTCGTCGTTTTCGAGACATAAACGGCACGTTGGGTCATCGTAGATGCCCAGAATGTTTAGATGTCTGTTAAGGCGGCAGTGTCCAGTTAGTAAGCCAGTGACAACTCTGATATTAACTGTGATATAGAGCAACAGAATTGATCAAGATTCATTGAGCAACATCATTCGGTAGCATCACGTGATATTGGATTCGAATGTATTCAGAGTTCTCCACATGATAAGGATGATCCTTTATTTTTTGAAACTGACGAATCCTTCATTTTTTGAAACTGACGAGTATTCCTAAATGCTGATTATGATTCTTAGACATTTTGATAATGGATCACCCTGTATAGTGGATGATAGCTGACGGAACAAAAATATATAATCGTGATTAACCTCAGTTCTTGAGTTTATCATATCTCCATAGGTTGCAAACAAAGAGGATGGTCCACTTTATAGTATAGCAGAACTTTGACGTGTCTGTCATAAAGTCGGCATCATATGGAAAAGGGAAAACACTTGTGATGATAATTCATTCCTCAATTCAACTAGGGCTTTCAGTTTTGCTTAAAAAAACTATAAAAATTATACATTCCAAATGTAACACTTTTCCAAATCAATCGCTAAACATTTTTTCATTTGTTGTTGTTTCTATTCCAATTTTATATAAATGTGTCTCGAATTTGACAAATCTATTCAAACTTGGTTTTCGATATTTTTTCGATTGATACGAAATGTCTGTAATATGATGAGAGTTAACACCGATGAAACTATTCCATTCTATAGTAGCTTCATCATGCTACTAATTTTCATCCAACAATTATTGACAAAAATATGATAATCTTCAGAAAATAATATCCCCATCAGCTTCGAATTTCTGTAATGTTTGATGCAAAAATTATGAATCCCTATCATCCAGGAACAACATTTTTATCTATAGATATTTCCAGTATTGAAATGATGCATGATGATGAATAGCAAGAACTGAAATTTGCTAAAGAACGTTCACATCCGAGACAAATGTGTAAAATTTGAATAGAAACAACTGTTTCATGTGAACTTTTTTGAAATCCGAATAATAATCATTGGAAAACATTCGAATTTTGACGTAGCGAAAGTCACGTGACTTCGACAGAGTAGGCCATTGTTTATATTTTATGAAGCAAGATTAACACCTAAGTCGACTCATGAAATAAATTATTCGTAGGATTTTTTTCCATATGGTTTCAACTCCATGAATGACATTGTATAGAATAATCTATTCCAGAAAGAAATATATCTATGCATGAGCATTGGTCGTAAGACGCTCCGTTCTCGAGAACAGTCGTAAAAATATAGATTTACCTTAGATTACTAGAAAACAGCCCATCCAACCCATATTCTGCTGACACACCCATTATCTGTTAGTAAATACAGTCGTAGTATTTCCAGCTAATATCAATACCAGTACCAACAAGTATCAATGAGAAAATCCCAAGTTTCAGTAGAAGATATGAAGGAGTGGTTAGTTTTATAGAGATACCTTCTATGATAACCCCAATAGGTATCATTCTGGAATGTTGGTAACATTTTTTCAGTCATATGAAAGACAAGATGTTGATACATAAATGATTTCGAGTTTTTTGTCATATGTAATACCACAAGTGATAATATTTTGCCGGAAATATTCGGTGATTGTTACGATAGCTTGTTGCCTAGTAATTTCGTGAATGACATTGTTATCAAAACTACGAGCCGTAGGCGAGTAGTTTTGGATCAATGTCATGAGCGAAATTAGAGCAGCAAGCTGGAGTATGTCAATCGACGAATATTTCCAGGAAAAATAGTATCACGAGTTGTATTCGTATGACTATTTCATGATTGAATGAGACAATATATATATATAAGAAATAGGAAACATAATTTAAGTATATTTCAACTCAAACTGCGAAGAAGAACAAAATGATATTAATGAAATACAGAATTCAATTTTTTAGAAATTAACTACCTACTTTTATACTTTTAGTAATTCACAAAGTGGAATGTACAATTTTGATGAACAGTATTTTGTTTATTATCTTGGAGATGGTTTCTCTCAAAAGAGTGTATACATTTGATGCTATCCAATTCGAACAACATAAAATGAATTTATCTGACATGAAATAATTAAATAAAAAAATTATTGTCGCCGACGGGATTGAACCACCGACCTTCGTATCACCGCGCAACAAACCTATCAGTTGAGCCACATCACCTGAATTTTCTTGGTCACAATAACTTGAGTGACTGAAGAAGATTACTTCAAATGGGAATTTGAATTCTAGTATTGTTGTCAGACCGTCAACAAATATGCAAACTTATTAAATTACACATGAAAGGTCCAGCCAGAATGAAATTGTCTCGCCTTCCGTACAAAATGTTTCACTAACGCGAATTATAAGTAAATAAAATGAAGTAGGTATTTAGGTTATTGTCTCTTGTGTCAGATTTGAATACAAAGCAATCTTGACCATACACGATGTCAATATTTTATCGCTGATAAACGAGGTTTGTTGGTCACGTGTGGGTATATTCGGCTTCTGTATTGGTAGAGCAAGTCCGATAAAATTCAATAAACAAAAAATATCGCTAGAATACAGAAGAAACCGTGAAAATGGTCAATTCTGATTGGTTCAGGAGATCAAGAGTGGAATATTCAATTCTAAAATGCTGTTTATCTTAAACGAAGCTACTTATGATCAATATCCATTGAAACTTCCATTCCTCCGATAAAATCTTCTATAGATTGTCAAAATTCTGCTATCATATAGTGGACTAACCGTATATAAAGGTGGCAATGTGGGGACCATGCACTCTTGTATAAAATTAGTATAATATTATACACCTCGGGTGAGAATTGAGCTATTATTTATAGTAAGCACTTTCATATCCAGAGGTACGAAGCTGTATAATAGCATTTTCAACTGGGGTATATACCGGGTGGTCCATTTGAGACTATCCACCCTCGAAATATCTCAGAAAAATTATATAACAAGAGAATAACAAAACACGTCGATTTTTATTCTGAGGAGGACACTGTTTGACGCAAATTGAATAATCCTTACTTCAACTCTTCACTTCCCAGAGCAATTCCTTCAATAATTTGAATATGCAATGAGGATTGTGTTTCACATCATCGCAAAGGTAATTGAATTCTGATACGAGTAGTGCAAATTTTTTGAATTTCAACAGGGCATTCTCGAGATATTCGAGTTCAGAATGAATTGACTCCCAGACAGTGGTAAAATCTGGAAGCAAATTGCTTTTACACATTTGAAATGTTTCTCTAGTTATTGCCTGGCATTCAACACTCATTATTTTTTCTTATCTCCCAGATCAGTAGATTCCGTTTCATGAATGTCGAATTTCGATTGACCTCAAAGGAAAAAAGTATGTGTCATTTCTGGCGAGCGTGCTGGCCATTTTATTGGTCCTCTACGACCAATCCATTTGTTTCGGAAATCTTGGAGAAGGCATTCTCTATAGGATTTTCATTAACATCATCATCGAGGTGCGTGACAGAATAGCTGTCCAAAAATCTCCTGAACAAATGAATAGGTCGTAGAGGACCAATAGGATGAACAGCTCATTTGCCGGACTTGGCACCCAATGACCTAAACGATATGAAAAGGAATATAAGGATTGAATGACAAGCAAATATCTCCGAATGCACATGAGAGATTTGCAAATAAACTCTACCAACTGAACATATTCCAGTACATATCAGAAAAGTTTCAGAAATGTCTTACGAATATCTGAAACTCTTCTACTTAAGTTTCTCTAAAGTTTCAAAAACGTTTCAAAGAAAGTAAATGTTGTACCTCAGTGAAGTTTCATGAAACGTTTCAACAACATCCTCACAGACATGTTTCAAGGTAACCGTTCGGACACGTTCCAACAAAATCGTCCTGGACACGTCTCAACTGTCTTGGACATGTTTCAACAAAACTGTCCTGAACACGTTTCAAATAATGGTTTCCAACTTTGTATAAAGTAATGTGAATTTTTCGAAGGAAGTAGATATGCTGTAGAAATAATGATACACAGTGAGAATTTAGATTATCTTCATATTGATAGGAATTGAATTCTTGGTCTCATTTTCAATCAATGTATACATCACAGTAACAGCTCACGTATGATTTGTGATGTGACAATTGTAGGAATCATAATAATCAGATTATCACAAAGATTTTTCGTTCTCCAAAAGTTGCTCTCAGCTGTAATGAGATTCGAAGTGATATACTTATTTAGTTTGGAGAATATATAAATTTTCGTTGGTTGCATACGCATACCTATCAATAGGTCTGTTCGTTTGTGTTGCGGATCTTGCTGAAGTTGATTTCGTTCTCATATAGGGTTGTCCCTGTTCATGGCAAGATGTGATTAGAGACAATCTCAGAAAAAAATCAGGTTCAGCAGGTAGAGCAAACAAAAATGAGAAGACCTTAGGTGTGTATATTGCCTAATATCACTGACACTATCGACCGCTCATTTTCTTATCTATCAATTTATAACTCTTTACCTAGGTTTGAGAAGTGTTACTCAAAGGAAATCCTCAAATAATGGTCACTTCTTTGGTCAGTAATGAAAAAAAATCGACAGGAATATTTTTCTACTCTCATGGTTGATATAAAGATGAGTTAAGAATTTCATTTATCAATTCGTTATTATAGTGTACCTACTTATCTCGTCTCAATCTTCCCCATTTCCTCGTGCTATTGAATATTATACTATAGGTGACTGAATATATAGTGCGTTCATAAAGTGTGGAAACGCTCCATTATCTTACGATATAATTATTTTCAGAAGTAAAGCTCGGACAGATCGATTTTGTATTTCAGTCTTCCATCTTTTTTTACAAAAAAATAATTTTTCCCCCACCACCTTACAAGATATGACGTCATCGATATTTTTTTTGAATCGAAAGGGTATATTTTTATATCAAAAATTGAAAGCCCATATTTTTCTGAGTTCAACCATACCACATACGTCATATCTTACACTTCAAGTTACAGTATACTGAGTATAAAAGAAACCAGTGTTCATATTTCTCAACATTCATTTAATCATTTATTGCAATGAAAATATCATAAGAAGTAGTGAAAATAAACAAATGACAAATCTACTTCTTTGTTACTACTTCTTATGATATTTTCATTGCAAATAAATAATTAAATGAATGTTGAGAAATATGAGCACTGGTTTCTTTTATACTCAGTATACTGTAACTTGAAGTGTGAGATATGACGTTTGTGGTATGGTTGAACTCAGAAAAATGAGGGCTTTGAATTTTTGATATAAAAATATACCCTTTCAATTTAAAAAAAATATCGATGACGTCATATCTTGTAAGGTGGTGAGGAAAAAAATAATTTTTTTGTAAAAAAAGATGGAAGACTGAAATACAAAATCGACCTGTCCGAGCTTTACCTCTGAAAATAATTATATCGTAAGATAATGGAGCGTTTCCACACTTTATGAACGCACTGTATATAAGATCGCAGGGCCAAAGTCGCCGGATGTTATGAAAATGCATTATTTCCAAATGATTCATATGACTGAGTATCTTTCAGATCTTTAGGTAGTCATTTGAGAAGAGGAAACTGAACTTCTGTCTGTATATTTGTGTACCCTTGTGAATTTTGAAATCAATTTTTGGATACTATATCGGAAGGTTTTTTCCTGTTTCTATTCCTTTCCTTGTCAATAAATGAATTGATAAATGGAGGGTGCTACCCAGCAGATATTCGTTCAATAAAGTTTGTCTCACTACTTCAAATACAAATGCTTCGATTTGAGGTTACCAATTTCGTTTCCATTCAGAGTAGTGAAATGAATATTACGGAATCAGTGGAGTAAATATTTAGTCAGGATTTCATTTTTTCAAATTTCTTTCGTAACTATCACTTCTGGAAATAAAATGCAACTGAATTCAATTTAGAAGTTGAGAAAATATCTTTCAATTATACACTGATTGAAATCATCAATATCTGTGAAATGAAGAAAACTCCCATGAATACTCTTCTGAAGAATTCGAACTCGGAAAATATCACAATGACCATTAAACTCTTTCTGAAATGCAGGAAGGCTTGAATGTGAACGAACTTTCAATGTACTTTTCATTGGTTACTTGAATATCTACAAGGACTGCAAGAGGGCGCATCACTTATTTTGAATCGGGGATCGCCTAAAGTTTATCAGTGGGCCATTTTGGCTTTGGAGATGCTCGCGATCAAACATGGTGATGTTATTATTGGTTGATTTGAATCGGTCAGCCACTATCGACCAATAATAACATAACGTTTCATCGCTAGCATCACCAAAGCCAGAATCGCCTTGCAAAATTCAAAGCAGTATAGATTCATTGTGACGTAATCTTACGATACTGACGCATGTGAGAATGTTTTATTTACTTTGGTGTTCAACATTTCAAATTATCCTTTTTCTGTCACATCTATCCCACTATGAGAATCCAACTCCTCTTCTCTTCATCTTCTTATAACCATATCATGATTATCGTTATTATGTCATATACATACTGAGTTGAAATGGAACTTGCGTGAATTCCATCTGAAAATCATCCATTGTATTCATTTTACTTGGTTCTTTGGGATTTTCTCTCCTCGTTTCTATAAAATAAAAGTATTCGTATTATTTCAATATATTTGTAGAGGGACAAATCAGATGATTTGCCCCAAAATGTCACTGCGTTTAACAAATTTTTCTATCAGGGAGTCTAAAAGAAAAATCCAGTAGCTTGTCAGTGACAATTTGTTTGAAAAAAATTTTAAAGAAAAGAAATATAGCTATATTGAAAAAATATCGAATTTTTACTTATCTTTGGACGTTTCGGGACCGATTCTGCTCCCTGATAGAAAAATTTGTTAAACGCAGTGACATTTTGGGGCAAATCATCTGATTTGTCCCTCTACAAATATATTGAAATAATACGAATACTTTTATTTTATAGAAACGAGGAGAGAAAATCCCAAAGAACCAAGTAAAATGAATATACCACCTCCTCGATTAACCTACAGACAGTATTCATCCATTGTATCTTGTGATTATATTTCATTTCTTATATTCTCGTTTTCGATATCGTCATGACATACGAAATTTTTTGTTGTTAACATCTAATGATGATTCATAGTCAATTGTCAGTGAAATATAATGCATTGACCTTCAGTGCTCATGGAGTCTTTTCAAAGTCAGTTGATGAGAGTTACGGACAGGCACAGCGTGACCTATAATGTTTTCAGCTGATGGTGCTCCTATTGACTTCGACTCATTCGATATTTTCAGGAGGATCTACTGGTGGACTATATGCAGGAGCTACAGCAGGAAGTGGTGTGTCAGCCGTAACAGGCTTGGAAGGCCAGGCGGGAGGCTCAGGAACGTATTCGAATGCTTATAGCGGTACTTCAGCAGGTGGAGTTTACAAAACAAGAACGAAAGTCAAGACTTTTGCCAGTCCAGCTCTAGAATTAGAAACGCATAAAGAGTTTGTACAACCTGCAGGTGAATGATTATAGTTAGTTGATTATCGACTTATAGGAATCATTAATCGCTAGGAAATGATATATAGATGGGGTAAAATCTTCTGAAATTAAATAGGTTCATCTCAATTGATGTTTTTTCTCTATATATCAATATCTACAGTGTGACCCAATTCAAATAGAAACATAACGCTGTCAATGGTCTTGATATCTCTAGAATTCAATTTCAAGGTTTTGTAATAATATTTCAACATTCAGAATGGAACAAAAAATATTTAGCAAACTCCCAGGTTCCACATCTGGCTGGCTTTCAACAATTCTCCTGTTCTTTGGTACATAATATCCCAATTTATTCACTAATGAGTAGATGATATGTTTTTATACAAGAATTGACACAAAATTATCCAGCTAAGTGTAAGAGAATTGCGTAAATTTGATTGGAGACTTCTAGCAACTGATGTTAACTGGATTATCTAGCGATCATAGTTTTCCTCATACATTCTTGCGATGAATTATAATGAGGATTCCAATATTCAATTGACAATTTAGAGTTCATATTATTATACGCTCGACATTTCGATGAGAATCTGTTTGTAACCTCAATGATTTGAGAAATCTATCGCAAGTTCACTGTAACACTGAAACTCATGATTCAAATTTTGTTTTCAATTACAATGTAGATCATGTCTTGATACCCGAAATTTATTAAATGAATGAGTATTTCACTAGGAAAGCTATAGTCTTTCGTGAAAATATTCATATTCATTACGGTGTTTATCAATCTGAATGATTTCAAAGGCCGATGAGATATTATTTTTTTCTAATTTGGACATCATATTTGACACTTATTCCCACATCAGACTGAAGTTGTGTTATACCAGTTGCGTGGAGTAAAATATCACATAACTGGTGATGAAATGCTTATTTCAAGACTAGTTACTCGATAAAAATATAAATGGACGAAGAGAATATTCACTAATGTTACTGAACGAGTCTATTTTGATAATTTCGACGCTAATCTATGACCGTATTACTGTTCGAAGGATACTTCAAAGTGACGGACGAAGTCAACTTGCCTGATGGTCATTATTTCTGTTGAAGTGAAAATTCTGTGTTTGTGGGATAAATTTGAAGTTTAACTCCTAGGAACTGTAAGTGTATCGGATGACGCTGAAGTTGATAGCTGCTTTGACACTGGCATATGCTCAAGTGAGTCAAAATAGTGGTAACTCCACTTGCATTTCAATAATCAGATATCAATTTTTTCGATTGCAGAAAAGATAGCATGTTTTATTCGGATCAAAAGTGACTCTGTTTGACTCGCAAAATTTGCGGGCACGGCTTTGCCGTCCCTCTCGCAAACGAAAATTTCGCAATCAAAGTGTCACATTTGATCCTAATGAAACCATGTATTTTTATTTGCAGCTTTCTGGTTTGAATGTTAACATTATTGATTGTCAGTCCTCAAATATGAATGTCAGGCTACAAATCGAAGAATTATTGCAACGGCCACTACATCATTATTGTCTATCTTTGTTGTTTTTTATTTTTAATTTTCAACTGAGGCTTTATACGAGCTTTCGATTATTTACAGTGTGGTCATTTAAGTGGGCAACATATGGGAATCTTTTTAATGAATTGCACATCCGAAATACAGATAGTGCCGAAAGTTGGTGCATATTCGGTAATCATTTTAGGTGCATTTAGAATGGTTGCAAGTCACACAGCATATAGGGTATGTCGACAAATATAAAAATAGCTCAAGAGTAGAGTACCCTCATTTCAGAGAATTCTGCGTAATGCTATTGAAAAAAGTTGTTAACAATTGAAAGTTATGCCTGAATACTAAAACATGGCTTCAATTATGTTCGTGAATAATAATCCAATTCGTATTTTTTTTTTAATATTCATCCTAAATACTTTGTTTCAAATATAAAAATAGCTCAAGAGTAGAGTACCCTCATTTCAGAGAATTCTGCGAAATGCTATCGAAAAAAATTGTTAACAATTGAAAGTTATGCCTGAATTCCTTGCTCGCACAAGACTTTCGAAGACTTCTGAGGGTTGCTCGTAAGGGGGCAACCGAATGACGGATAGAACAATTTCAGAACAATTTCAATTTCAAAAACAATACCAAAACATGGCTTCAATTATGTTCGTGAATAATATCCCAATTCGTAATTTTTTTTTAATATTCACCCCAAATACTTTCATTAGTTGATCATAACAAAATCAGTTGAACATACCTTTGTTCAAATTTCAAGCTTATTCGTGCAATTAACTTGGATTTTAATTTTTTTAGGGCATCACAAACTTTATGTTGGTTGCAACGATATTCAGCTTAACATTGAAATTTCGCAAACCATATTTGTAAAAAGGTGAAACATCATTATTGTATTCAAAATACTACAAATTGGAAAATTATTAAGGAAAACTGAAAAATGTCATAGGTGGCCATGTTTCGGTATATAGGCATAACTTCCAATTATAAATAACTTTTTTCAATAATATTTTGCTGAATTTTCTGAAATAAGGGTAGTTTACTCCTGAGCAATTTATGAATTTTTTGACCTACCCTGTATGCTGTTTGACTTGCAACCATTATGAGTCCTGAAATGATTACCAAACATACATCAACTTTAGGCACGATCTGTATTTTGGTTGTGCAATTCATTGAAAAGATTCCCATATGTTGCACACTTAAATGACCACACTGTATATTCAAATGTGTTTCAGGAAACTCCACACTTTGAATTGCATATTGCTTATTATATTTCATCTGAATATGTATATGTACAAGCTTTGTGAACGAATACGAATTCATTAATGGCAATAACGCATATATTGATTGATTGATTGATTGATCAACAAAAAATCTTGAGGTGCATTCGAGCAAGAGACTCTCAGCAACTATTTACTATCTTTAGTTCTTCATATAATTTTTGTATAACCTCAAGGAAGCCGAAGGTAGGTTCATTTCGAACCATTGAAAAAATATAGGAAGTCAGAAAATAATTGTGTAATACGACAACTTTTCACTGAAGCACTTCTGACTCAATGTTTTCACAAATTTCCGTGAGCGACAATTACGAAGATTTAAATTTTTGGAGTGGTGTATTTTATTCTGGTTTTCATTATATGTTCAAAATTTTGGACCAAATTTGTTGTTGATTACAAAACTTAGCAAACAGGAAAAACCTAATATTTTCGAAATAACTGTTCGGCTTGCAGATAAATTGATGTGTGTTCATTTCAAAATCACCTTGTATGAAGCATCTAGATTGAATCATAACCTATGGACTTGGTGAACCAAAGGTATTCATTCGGAAGATATTCATTCGAGATTCGAGATCATATTATGTAATATCAAAAATTCAATACTTTTTTTTTTATTGATAACATTCAATATTTCATAGAGAACATATTCTCAACATTGTAGGTTTCAGTATTGATCTTCATTGAGAAAATTGAATGTTTCTAAACTAAAGATAACAGAACTGAAAAGAACCATTTCTGGTGTTATCCTTATGGGATGTGTCACGTCACGATGAATTTCATTCTATGTCAACTGAAACAATCACAGGACAAATTCACTTAGATCCTGACTCGCAAAAAATCCAAACTGATTCAGAAACATTTTCTGAAACTGTTTCAGTATTCCACAAACGTTTGGATATCTCTGCTGGACCAATTCTACACAAAGAAGTAGAAGTTGTTGAAGAGGTCAAACCCCAGAAGACTTACATTGAAAGAACTGTGATACCTAACTACGAGGAAAAGACAATCTACGTGCCAAGCTATGTTGAAAAAACCATAAAAGTGCCAACAGTGGTGGAGAAGAAAGTTAGAGTACCAGCTGCGCCAACCATAATAGAAAAAGCAGTTGATGTACCACCGTCTGACGTCAAGTTTGATTCAAAGTATGGTTTCAATTCAAACTTGTTTTATAATTCGAAGTAATTGTCTGTATAGGAATCACACAAACAAATTCTGATGGGTATTATACACATACATCATCCCAATAGTTCGACAATGTCATTGGAATCGGTTCATATAGCTCAAATCACTAGATTTTCACCCATTGAAATGTGTCTCAACTTGGCACAAATTTCGATGAGTTGGTCCACAATTTCACAACTTCGAAAAACCAAGCGGTATCATCATAAAAAAATAATCACAATACTGATGCTAATTTTAGATATCCATCACTTCGTAGCTCAGAAATCAATAGGATATTGTATCATGGATGTAACGATCGTTCAACAGTTTGACAGATTGTTTGGAGTTCGAGCCCGCTTTGATGAATATCAATTTTCAGGAATCAGAGACGTATATTGAGTGGAAGAACTTCTTCCAAGTCAGGATAGAAGAAGTGCGATTCACATCATTGTTCTATAACACTTGCTCTGTTAATTTTCCTCAAAATGATCACCGCGTCAGTTATATCACAATATTCAAAGAGACCTTACATAAGAATGAATATATGCTGATGAAAGTTTTGATAGACCTTCACTATCACTCACTGAGATTTTCCAATCGATATTCCATGTACATTGAATTGACATTGTTAGATGTGGGATTCACGTTATACCGTTATCAATAAGAAAACGCTCGTTCTTACGTAGCCCCTTTTTCTGTACTTATATTCACTCAATGTATGTTCTCGAATCAATATTCAATTATTATATCAGAACCAACTGTTATTGACGAGTCATAGCAAAGAATTGTTCGAATCTGTTGTCGGTATTATTTCAAGACATACATTTGAGAATACGCCCAACTGTTACCACATAAAAATCGAAAAATATGTACCAATAGGTTGACTAATCTTGTTGCAGACCAATTCCTTAACCTGTACAGTCTTATTTCTTGATTGAATGCTATTTTTGATGTTTTCCATTCGAGTTGATTTCCTGATTATACTCGTTATAATGGTCCAAACTTTACAAAGTAACTTTGCCTAACCACACTCATTCTACCTCCTGCGCTCAGGGGTCATCTAAATAATTATAAAAATTTATTTTTTTCAACAGAGGTCCACTAAGAATCCCATTTTTCGAAAGCTTGTGATGACATATCACAATAATTAGGGAGTTCCTGTTTGAACCATATTTATTAAAATGGCGAATGAAGCTTCAACTAGCCAGATATCTCTAATCAAATATATATCATTCAATATACTATGAACCTCAAATAGGGTGTATTGAAGCAATAACCAATTCTTTCCAACATCCGAATTCATTAGTACTAGTTTTCTCTGCAATTCATCTAGGATCGTCTAGTTCATTTTACTTAATTTTCTGGAATGTTCTCTCCTCGTTTCCATAAAATGAAAATATGCGTATTATTTTAATATTTTTGTAGTGGGGCAAATCATCTGCGTTTGAAAAATTGTTCTATCAGAGAGTCTGAAAAAAAATCCAGTAGCATGTCAGTGACAATTCGTTTAAAAAAATGTTTGAAGGAAAAAAATATAGAGATATTGAAAAAATATCGAATATTTACCTATCTTTGGACGTTTCGGGAACGAATTTGCTCCCGTTCCCGACATGAAAATGCAAAATATGTTTCTTTGGAAGTTGTGCTCTGCTTATAGTTTGACACTTTGGGGCAAATCATCTGAATTGTTCCACTACAAATATATTGAAATAATACGCATACTTTCATTTTATAGAAACGAGAAGAGAAAATCCCATGAAGCATCAAGTAAAATGAATGTTCCAAGCACCTTCTCGATTAACCTACACAGACAGTATTTATAGTCTAGATATTTGTATTCAAGGGTTTTTAAAAACGGATGTTCGTTTGGTGGCCATCAGAATGACATTTTATGCATCTCATTCTACTTCATGGTTGAGATTGCTGTTATATATTCAATTTTCAGGGTAACAGGATTTGTTGGTCCAGCACCAGTCGCAGTTTATACCAAAACGAAGACGAAGCTTCGACGTGGTCATCCTCATTTGAGGAAACATTTGTGAGTAACATAACATAATTATATACATAGAGAAAAACGACAATATTCATGAGTAATTGAGAACTCACACTCAATCAAGTATTATCAAGAGTATTTTTCATTTGGTTGTTCATATACTCTCATAGAACCTGGATGCAGGAAAACGAATGATACATATACTTCAATAATCGATGTACTTACCTATATATATTATCACGAAAATCGTTAAGAATAGGAACAAACTTCCGTCGCAGAAAATGATACTCCACGAATACGTCAAAACAACCTTATATACTATCTGCCATTATTAGGAATCATGGTGCAACTGAATGAAAAAAGTTGAAATCAATCAACACGATATTCTGGTTGAATTAACTCCGATTGAATCCAGGGAAATACCACGAACGGAGTATTTGATAGTTTTGATACTACCACCCGGCTAGTATATCTGATCTTATGATTCTCACCAATCAAGCTGTTGAATTAAGGTGCAGAGTTTTTCACCAAAGAAGCTAGTGAGGTATGCTCATTCAGCATACATAATTATCATTTTGGTTACATTCATGTAGCGGTTCCGAAATTGTTCACCACATTTCAAAGTTCACGATTACTATTGAAAAAGTAAACTCAATTTCAAGGTGCATTGCACTCGAAAGTACCACCATTTTCAAACTGCGGAAATACTTTGCCGGACTTTTCTGCGTGTAGCAGTTAATGATTTGATAAAGGCTCCAGAAGTCGAGAAGTCCAGCGATAGTCGCGAACATATCGCGAACAGTGAGAACAAATATACTTACAAAGATTCATGAATCTGTTGTTCAATCAATCTCTTTTTATCATCCCTAGGTATACGCACGATGTTCTCCGAACATAATAGGAACTTCTTTCATGCGCTCCAAGAGTTAAAATTAACAAAATTAGTGGTCTGTTCTAACTGGCAAGTCTGCTCTCAATAATCATCTATCTAATGTATTCGAGACGTGTCAGTATACTGAATTCAGATTAACTTCACCATTTCTGCTCAATTGTCGAATAAGTTGATACGAGTGTTGTGAGATTTACCTAATATAATATTTGTAATGATCTCACTACCAATTTATTCCAGTCTTCTTCACCGTGAAATGAAGAATATGCTCATATCCGGTTATTGGGCAAGTTTTCAGTTCAAATCATTATTATTCACGAAAATCTTTGATAATGAAATTTCAAATACCTTGATGTGATTGAGAAGATTCTTTGTTCCTCATCATGAAAACTATTGCATATCCATCGATAGTTTTGACAGTCGTTATCTTGAATATCTGAACTATATTAATAGTCAATTCCCAAGCTATATCTCTTGATCTTTATAACAATGCATACACCTGACACACAAAATTCATCTCATTGGACCACGGAAATTACTACTCTTGTAAAATATTCAGCATTCTCTGAAGATTCACAACTTACTACTCCTGAGAAAGTACTCTTCATGTTCCTGAAGTATTCTATAATGCTGCATAGATAGTGAATATCAATATTAGTTTTTTCAATCCAGCTTTCTCTTAGACTCTTCTAAGGATTATCTTCCATTCCCATGGATTTCAAGCACAAAATACACCTTCGTTGAATAGAAAAATGTTTGGGTTGGGGTGACCTTTTCTCCTTACAGTTTAGATCTGAAAAAATTATGATCAGAGCCTATTGTATCTGACAAGTGATTTCATTTGCTTTTTTGTATCTGAAAATCGAATAGTAAATAGCGGCGTTATGACTTGAAGTATCATGAAAATGATATCAGATCGCATTCAATACCATGAGAGAGCCAAACAAATCCCAGAATTATTCTACAGATCCTTCACCAACCTTGTTGCAACTAGACAATAGTAAGAGTCTATTGTCTGTCAAGAACTTTCCGAAGATTTGTGGAATTATTTCCAATTTATTCTCACATTTGTTGATTCAACTACAGAATTGAGCTTGAACCTGAAATATTTATACCGAAATTTGGAACACCTTCTATAATATTTCATCACTTATAGCTTTTTTGGAGGAGGAGGAAGTATCGGTGGAGGATATGGAGGAGGATATGGAGGAGGTTATGGTGGGACAAATGGATATGGAGCCTCAAATGGAGGATTAGATGGGTCCAGCAGCCTTACATACTCTAAATCAGTCAACGCCGATGTTGTCAACGATGCTTTCAACGTAAGATATTCATCTTCAGTGAACTGATGGATTTAGATGAAAAAAATCCTGACAGTTTCGGAAGTTGACGTTTTTTCATGCCATAAAAAATTGATTATTTCGAATCATCTTCACTGTTCAACCTTGTTGAGAAAATGCATCCCTCCAATGAGGCTATGATGAACAGTTTTTGAAATATTCAATCGAAAATAATAGTTTGCATAGTATTCTTTCATGATTTTCAATAGCGAAACATCACAAAAATACTTTCATGGTGGTGAGTATATATCAAATACTTCTATATGTTCTCATTGTGTCAGCTATTTTATTAAGAAAACCGAACGAGAATTCTTGAACCTTCCTACCAATGAGAATGATGAAAATTCAATATAAAAACCTCTTTTTTGGGTCATATATAGTATTTTTAGCTCAAGTGGAAGGTCATCATTCTAAATCATGTTGTTTCAGTATCTTGCAATTTTTTATAGAAAGAATGATTCCATTGTTCTCCATGATGTTCCATAATTGTGAAAACTGTAATTCAATCAGTTTTAAGTTAACTCCAGTTAGATGGCTTCAGCGAAGATCAGATTCAAAATCAGCTGTTGAGACTCATCATAGTCATTACACAGGTGTAGATGACTTCAACTTGCTTCGAGTTTTCTGAATATAAGTCTTTATTACTTATAAGGGAATGATTGCAGCGGATATTAGCAAATCCTGTTACTACGAAACTAATGCTACAATGAAGTTATCTTGAGGAGGTTGTCGTAACCAGAAATCCTATTTTCTCACTGCGGAGATAGCATCTAGATTTCTACTTTTTCGTTTTGTCTGTGACTGAAAGAACTTGTTTGGATGTCTTTCGCATTATCAGTTATTAACGAGGAAACTCCAATTTTGAAGATATTCGCTGAGGAGTCCAAACTCCATATGTCTTTTTAGTTTGATAGACTTCTTCAATAAATATGATGGGTGCGTGCTAGTAGATGCATAGGGATCTCGGAAACGATGAGAGCTACAGAGAGGGTGAAATGTAGGCAAAGTGGCGTAATTTCATGACTTACAGGAAGCCGTTTAGAAAATTGAAACATTCTGAATACTTCCGAAAATGTTTGATGGTAACCGGATATTCGCGATTACATTTCCATTTTTCTGGAAGTATCCGGAATGGAATTTTTCTAATTTCGAAACGACCGTTTGCCTTCATTCAAACCCTCTCTGTAGCTCTCACCGTTTCCAGAATCCTAATGCATCTACTCGAATTCCACTCACCCGGTATTCTGAATATCAAATTATATGATGGAAAAAATTAGTAATACCAATTCGTTTATTTTCACAATCGTACATAGATAAAGATGGAAATAAGATGATATTATGATAGTGAAACTTTATTGGGAAATAAAAATGTAATCGAAATAAATCTTCAACTTTGAGTGTTCAAATGTCGATCAGCTCTTTGACGGTTCGCTTTGAAAAAATATTATGAAAATATCAGAACATTTCATGAATATTCGAATATTTCATTCAATTATATATCTTCAAAACACTCCTAATAATCTGCGTGTTTTTTCAGATTCCGATAGCCACATTAGGTGCTGTAAGTAAGTTAGTGGGAGGATTATTTGGAGGAGGTGCTTCCATTTCTGTAAACAAATCCTTTGGTGCCGGAGGAGCATATTACAAATAGTAAATAACCCAGATGATAATGTATTTTCTGACAAAACGAGAACAATACTCAGTTGATTTTGTATGTGCCTTTACATAAAATTATAATGAAGAAATAAATACTCATTATATCTATGTTGAAAAGCCAGTGTAGTTGTCTGTTACGTGTTGATGGAATTCTACAACCCACCTCTGCAGTGACAATGGTATATGAAAGCCTCATTCATGGGGGTTTTTGATTGAAAATATACAGGTTGAATTCGGAGATATAGATTTAAAAAAAAGGTAACGCATTACTCGATCAGTTTTCTGGCAATGAGGCCGCACACTGTTTCAAACCATTTGACATTTCATTCATTTTCTGTGTTCGATGTGAGTATTGTTTTGGCAGACTTTTTCAAGATTTATGAATGTATCGCTGTATATTCAGCCTGATGTGCCTCATCCTTTGGGCAGATTGATGATAATAATAATAATAATAATAATAATAATAATGTTTATTCATATATAAAGGTAGTAGATACAAAAGTGAAAATGATTATGATCGATAATATGACTACAAACATGTATATAGATATATAGATACATAATGAATAAACAATTCACCCAACAAAAGCTAGCTTGTACGTGGGTTATCTGTTATATTTCAAAATGATTTAACAAATGTTCAATAATTATCAGATCAATATCTATATCTGTGTCCCTATATTTATCTTAAAATATTTCAATCTGAAACCAAACTTACATTATACTTATTCTACATTTTACATATAAATCTTATTCCTAGTGCATGATATGCAGAATTTTTACGATACGTATATGACAATTTATTGGGTATTATGAATTTGTTCCGGATCTATAATGTTACTGGCGAACGATCTGTCTGAGGTGATTTTTTTAGGTCATCTGGAAGGATATTGAAAATTCTTGCTGACATGTATGCATAATTTCTTTGTCCTTTTCTTGTTTTTGCTAAAAATGTTCTTGTTTTATTTTTCGTTTTCATTCTTGTGTTATATTCATGCTCTATATACATGAGTTTATCTTTATGTTTAAATTGATCTAGGGCGATACTTTGAAAATACAATTGCCTGATATCAAGTACTTTTGCCTCCTTGAATAACAAATCAGATGAGAATGTGCTTTCTCTCTTCAAGAATATTTTCAAAAATTTTTTTTGAGTTACTTCTAATTTTCTCAAGATTGTACTTGTTACTCCACCCCATCCAATTATTCCGTATCTAAGTCTTGATTCAATTAACGCATAATATATTATTTTCATCTGAGGAAATTCGAGGAATGAACTAAAGAACCTGTACCTGTATATTATAGATCTGAGTGTTTGACACACTTTGTTTACATGAACATCCCATTTCAAGTGTCTGTCTATATGAATTCCTAAATATTTCACATTTTGTGCCTCAAGTAAATCGATTTTTTTGTCGTTGCTACCAACTGTAATATTATTGTAACTAGGAAGCCCATTCTCATAACAGCTGAATGGTAAGTATGTTGTTTTTTTATAATTTATAGTAAGCAACTTGCTATCAAACCATTTCAATATTTTGTTCAAATCTGTTTCTACTTTTTCCTTCAAAGAGCATCATGAATCATCTTCATAGAATATAGCCGTGTCGTCGGCAAAATGATGATGAAGAGTGATATGTAAAAATGTATCAAGAACAAAACCTATCCGCGGTAATCACGAGAACCGTAGAGAAGGAGGAAGAATGTCGCCATTTCGGAATATTTTCATTCATTTTCACGCAAAGCTACGATTGCTCAATAAACAGTTAGTCCTGCTGCAAAAGGGTTCGAGACATGTTTCGTAAGTTGAAGTCAATATATTTTCATGAATATAAAAGTGAAGAGTAACTTGGAATCATCCAAGCAGGTATATGAGCGCCGCCAGGAAATAATGCAGCGGGGGACGATAGGACAAAATGTTGAAACGTTGTTTCTTAAAAATTTTCAATATCGTATAGTTGTGAGCGATATTAATAATCATGGAGCCCATGTCCTATGTCAGCTCGCTTCAAGATTTTTTGGTGGTGAACACGAAATCTGGAAGCTGTTTGGTCATCTTGGAAATAACAGGATTTTTCAGGTAAGATATATTAACCCCAAATTTGTTTTTGGATGCATGACGGATTGATATTCATCAGACAGGACATGAAAAAAAATTCGAATTGAGAGAAACTAATCACGAATATGCGATTATATGTCTAAAAATAACATGTTCTCATCGTTCAAGTTTGAATCTCTTGGTTGGGTGGAAGTATTTGAAAGGAATATTTTAAGATATATCATGAACATGAAAAAATTGATGCATATGTGTATAAAGAAATACATTGAAAATTCGCATTCTCTATGTGATTTTTCAATCCTTTCTCGGTTTATTCAACTACTTTCCTGGCTCTATATGCCACGATGAACATTGAATTGGATCTATCGAACACACACGATAAGAATTTGAAAACAAAATCTTCTGAAGTTGAGAATTCGCTTTCTCCTTCAGATAAAAATATTTGTGCATATACATATTATAAAATATGATTTGCGAACGGATATGGGATTTCCTCATTATTATCGAAATGATACTCATTTCGTAATTTATAATTATTTTTGAATGCTCAGAAACTATTTGTAAGACTGTTTTTTCTGTTTGGCTAACATGGTACAGGGTGGCTGATATTCGAGCCTCGATCTTCATTGAGATCCATAAGAGATATAGGGTTGGTTAGGGAATGACCAAGTTGCACAATTATATGTCTAACAAAATGCCGTTTTGATAAATGCAAAATTCCGAATGCTTCCGGAAATATAAAAAAATACCTAAACCTTTATTTCATTCTTCCACACCTTTTGGATATTTCAAGAGTGATGACCTATCACAAATTTCCGTTTTTGAATGTTTGGCCAAGAAAATAGATATAGTTTCGTATTGAGGGTGAGAATTTTCGAAGTTGCGCAATAGAATTTTGTTAGGCATAAAATTCCGAAACTGTGATATCATTCAACCGACCCTGTATGTCTAATGGCTGAAATGAATATAATGTCATTGAGCATGGAATAACGTTATGTCAGAGCACGAGGGTGTAAACCATAGCAGTGACATTTGTATCCAACATTTGTTCTTTTTTTTTTAATAATAATAATAATATGTTTATTCAGAAATAATCATAACAATAATAAACATAACAACAATAATAATAACAGTGTAGCAATAGTAGAATAATAAATGAATAAGAGTAAAATGAGTAATTAATGAGGTGATGATGAGTAAATCATATGAATAAACATAGGGACACCGCAAAGTCCAGAGACTGATCGCGGCGTGGATAGTATAACTATACTTATAGTATAGATATTTATATCAAACACAATTACAAAAATGTCATATTATTAGTAGGTAGGCAGTGCAAGTATTCACTATATACATTTATAAAACGTAAATAAACAGAAATGCCCATTGAAGACCAGTAGGTTGCGCATGAGCATGAGTATCTGCATATTTATCATTCTAAAGAAGAATATATATAAAGCTATATGACATAGATCATACTGGTTCTGTTGAATATTGATTATCTAACATGATATGATGAATGGTTTAATGATGATGAGTATAAGAGAGTGTTGGGATGAAAATATTCTTTCTATTGTTCGATAAGATCATGTATAATTTTTCTCTCTATCGAATGCAAGAAATGTTTAAAAATTTTCTTGAAGAAATTGAAAGAGTTAATCTCGTAGACGTGGGTTTTGTAGATCTCCGGCAAAAAATTGAAAATTTTTGTAGCCATATATATATAGGAACGCTTACCCAAAGTTTTCCGTGCTAGGTGAGAATATGCAAATTGCTGGTTCCTATTACGTGTTCCGTACCTATGTTTTATACTTTGCAAACATTGCTTATTCTTATAAATATACGTGATGATATTGTAAGCATATATTTGTCTAATATCCAGCAGTCTGGATTCCCGAAAGAGAGCATCGGAAGAGTATGTGATGTCTTTGCTCAATATGATCTTGATGATACGTTTCTGTAGCACTGATAGTTTTTTTAAATGCACATTTGCTGCACTTCCCCAGGCCAGTATCGCGTACTGTAGACGCGATTCAACTAATCCATAATACAGTGTTTTGAGATGAGCCTCTTTAAGTAGACTCCTCAAATATTTAAATTTATATAAAAGCACTCTCAATGTTTTTGTCGTATTATTTATGTGGATATTCCATCGGAGATGCGAGTCTATTGTTAATCCCAGATATTTGATACTATTTTGGGATTGTAGCTCTATATATTTTTGTTCAATAACATAATAAGTCTAATAGGTTCTGGTATGAATTCATTTGTAATTGAATTTCTGTATGATAACAGTCGGATGAAGTCAATAGCTTCCTAATGAGGTCGAGCCTTGAGCATATATTTCGTCCATTTGTGTAGAATCTTGCTAGCGAGACTGTTGGTCTATTCCACACCGTGCCATGAAATGAAAGAGAATTTCAGCCAGAATTCGATCCAATGAGTTGCGTCAACCGTGATTCGAACTGATATCATCAATTGATGACAAATTGTTCTCCTACGAAAACACACTCCGAAGTTGCACATAAAGTATCTCATACATACCTTTCCGCACGCTCACGTTATCTTCATTTGTATTGTATTTGTATTTGTATTTATTTATAGTTTCACTACATTGTATATAAAATGTTCACACTCGTCAATATATGTATAAAAAAATGAATAGAAAAATAAAAAAAAATGAAGGAAATATAATAAATAAATAACAATGAACATGATCACATTGGCCAAACAAACATATACAGTCTGTCCAAGATAAGGTTGAACAGCATGGGGATCTCGAAAACGGTAGGAGATACGAAGTCGGTTAAATAGAGAAAAAGTTGCGCAAATTTTTGAAATTATTTTTAGTTTTTTAGTTATATCGAAAAAAGTGAATCTTTGGAATATCTATTTTATTTTTTTTTCTTCGTTATTATTAGAGATACAGAAAAACTGAAAATACTTTTTCATTGCAACTTTTGATGACGTTTGAAGTGGTTATACCGATTTTTTTATGCGACGTTTCGTATCCGTAGATCCATCATCAACTTTTTTTTTTAATAGGGTCCTGATATTTTTTTC